GGGGCAAGAAGAGCCCTGTCCGCCCCGCACCTGCAGCGCAGCAAACCCGCACCGCCCGCACGTGCTCGCTCTCCGCGCCCTTCCCAGCGCCGGCTCCGCCCCGCCCAGAGCCCCCCAATGGCGAGGCTGCGCTCCAGCGGTCCCGCCCCCAGCAGCCGGCCAATGGCGGAGGAGCCTGGCCACGTGGCGGATGCCTGCCTCCCGCGTGGGATTGATGGGCGCCTTGGGGGGTGGAGGGGCCTTCCAGAGCTGCTGGTTTGGAGGAGGAGGGATGGAGGACCCGCCCCACCGCTGGGCTTGGGTTGCTGGTGTGGAGGGACCCCCGACCCCTTTCGAGTTCAGGGCTCCGGGGCAGAGCAGAGGAGCAGGGAGTGGTGGCCCCACTGGGGAGGGGGCTGCAGCAGCCCTGGGCCCAGGCCAGCCCTTCCCCTGCAGGCGGCGGGATGGACCGAGGGCCCCCACATCCCCGGGCAGTCATCACAGCCGTGTTGTCCGCGTGCTGGGGGCAATGGGCGCCAAGGGTGTGCTGCAAACCGGGCACGAAGGCCAGCCGGTCTGGGAGCCACAGCGCGGCCAAATTCTCTCCCAGGCCGCAGGCGCCGGAGCTGTATTTCAAGGTGGCGTTTGGCGTGCTCAAAGGGGAGAAGTCATTCCTATTTCTAAGCTATACAGAGGAGCTAACGTGCCGTTTTCATTAGGCTGCGACTCCACCACGTTTCACATTGGGGGCGGCCAGCTTGCGAGGCCGAAGGGTACAAAGTAGTGAATGCCCCCCGCAACAGATATCCCTTGGCATCAGCCAGGAGAGCTGTCTCAAATGGGTGAGGATCAAAGCTGATGCACGGTGGCATTTGCTACGGCCCTTTGGCTTCCACTGTCGTCATAGCCCTGCGGCTGGGCTGGAGGGGCTGGGAGAGCCGTGCCGTGGCCTGCTCTGCTTTTAAAATGTCGGTGGGAGAACGGGAACTCAGCAGGATTTATCGTTTCTATCCCAACTGCACAGACCCAAATCCTCCATCATCTTTTAAAGAAGGGCAAAGCCGCCAGGCCCAACACAAAGCCCACGTAAGTCAATGGAAGAATGCCCCTTGCCTTCAAAAGCGTTTGGCTCGGCTCTATATCGTTGCATGAAGTTTGGGGCTTTCCTCAAAGTGAAAGGCTCCAATACCCTATGCCTTGAGTCCAGCTGGAAACGGCATGGCCACGCAGTAGCCAAGCAGTATCTGCAAACCCCTCTCCTCCCCTTGCTCTCAAGCGTTTCAAATGATCTGGGCCGAATTTTGGTCACGGCCACCACCTCGTCCCCGGCCGTTTCACCCTCCAGGCAAAGAGTCGGCAGACAGGTGCGTGGATCATGGTTTGATTTTTATTTTCAAGAGCATTCTCTCTCCACAATTCACATGTCCCCTGAATAATTAATTAAAACGTACTGAGGGATTGTGGCAAGAGACGAGAGAGAGAAACCAACAGAAATCAGTGCAGTAATTAAAAGAACAGGAACCTCCCTGGTATCAGACAGAACAATTCACCGTTGTACTTCTGTGCGATATATTCCCCTCTGGTAGTGAACGGAGACGGGTGAGAAGGGAATGAAACCAGCCCCATAAAGCAGCCGGTCTAGAAACGGTGCACACGCAAGCACAAAATGCAAGGTAGTGTTATGGGGGGGGAACAACTCCATCACCTGGCAGTGTTAGTACATCAGCAGCTCAATGAAGTGGAGTCGGGCCCCAGCCCAGCGCTTTTGCATTTGGGTAGAAGGGAAATGCGGCTGTTTCGAAAGGTTTCCAGGGACTAAGAGTATCGGAGTGTCCAGGTATAAGAAATGAGTCGCTGGCTCATCCCGAGCCGTCCACGTGGCAGACACAAGCCACGAGACATAGAAGGCTGGAATAATTCAAGGTGGTGTTTGGGACGCACGAGCACAGGGGAGATGCCGTTCCCATTTCTAAGTCGTGCAGGGTAGCGAATATGGCACTGTCATCCGGCTGCGCTCTGAAGACCCGTGTCCAACTGGTGACTCAAGTCCCAAGTTTATGATCAAATAAAAGCAAAACCAGAAAGCGACTCAGCGTGCAAAGAGACCGAACCACCCTAGAGGAAGGACAGTGCCGAACGGAGCGGCCCCATTTCATGCAGTTTTGA